CTTTGAAGAGAGAACCTTTGCCAGTCTTATCCTGACACGTGTCTGTACATTCACACACATGCCCAAAAACGTTTTCCTTAGTTTCCTGAGGACCTGTGTGAATGTCCACTTATTTGGTAATATTCCAGAAACACCTGACTTGCTGTTTTGAGAACCTGGGTAGTAACAAGGCTTACCCTTTGGTGATACAATTATCAACAAAAACAGCCCCCGGGGTAGACTGTTAGCCATAATGAGTTAAGGAATTTGAAGGTCCACATAGAACCGTGGGAGGATTTCCGATAAACGGTCGGGGCCCTTTCCAAACTCCCAGCTCCCCCAGCCCAGTTATATTTTGTGTATGTTCGTATCCCTCCTCACACTGCATTTAAATTAAGCAGGTGAGGTGTCCAGAGGCAGACTCTTGGCTAACTGGGACTGGCTTTCATCGCCGAGCTACAGAACGTGGTTCAGAGTATGTGCTCAATAAATGTCTGAGATGAACTTAAATATAACCTATGCCAATGGCAACGCCTAACAGTGGAAGAAAAATCCTCTCAAGCAGTAAATTAATGTAATTCTTGATTTTGGTGAACAGTAAACAAAACCTGCGAAGACAATGGGGAAATTATTTGAAGAGATAACACAAAAGCCTGAATTATCTACCTGAACTGGTTACCTGAATAATAATAATAGCACTCAATGAATATTTACAAAGTACCTCTCACTCTACTGTGTATTATTTATCATCCACTCAGCAGATACTTGCTGCCTCCATACACATGTGCACTGGGCACTGCTCCCAAGCACCAAGGATATAGAGGTAAATAAACAGACAAGAATTTTACTCTTACAGGGGAAATCAGAGGAAAACAGGTAATTTTTTAAAGATCACATAATATTAAGTAGCAGTGAGTGATATGAAGAAAATAAAGGAGAGCTAAAGGACGGAATTGGCAGGAGGGCCTTTTACGAGAGGTGGCCAGGGAAGGCCCCCCTGTGCAGTCCGGGGGGCGGGGACAGTGAGCGTGAAACAAGCAAATCAAGATTTTTTTCTGCCCCCTGGAGACAGACTATTAATTATTTAATTATCGCAGTCATCGCCAGAAAGGTGAGAGACCAGATGTACATGCAAATTGTTTCCTCTGTATATCATCCCGAGCGGTCCCCTGGGGTGCAGGGTGGGCAGCGGGTCCACAGAATTGCCACTCTGGGGCTGAGAAAAAGGGGTTCACGTCGGCAAACAGCTCCAGCTGCCAGAAAACAGCACCTGTGTAACCTCATCAATTACTCTTCACGTCGGAACCGTTTGTATTTGCTTTTCTCGCTCACCTTTGATATTTGGGGCCATTTCCAACCATCGTGCTTATTCCCCAGCAGTGGTCGGTCCTCGGTGCATTTTTGTCCAATTGAACTGAACGATGTCACGTTGAAGGGTGGTGGCTTCGTCTTCTTCCTGAAACAATACTTTTTTCTTTTTCTTTCACCTAAGAGAGTTTATTCAAATACCAAAGAGGAAATTCTCCAAAATGATTTTCTCTTTGTTTTCACTCCCTTCTTTCGCAGAGGTCAGTTTCTCCTTTTTCTCTCATTTTTTATTTTATTTTATTTTTTGAGGGGGAGGCGAATTCTGTTTCTAATTTAGAAGAGGACAGAGCTGCCTATTTTAACACAAAGGGATGTAACAGCCCAAGCGTACCTTTCTGCTTTCCTGCCTCAGCCAGGCGTTGTTTGCACCAGCTCTTGCGTTCAGAACGGGGAGAGAGGTATGAAAAATGAGTATAATTTAAGGGGAAATTCAGTACATTTAAATCGCATCCATCAGAAATTTTTCCGTTCCGTTCTCCCTGTAGCACAGACGACCAGTTTTCTCAGCAGTGACCGTCACTTAGAGCCTGTGAGTGTTTTTAATCAGCTGACACCTGCTTTCAGATGATGCCACAATAGCGAGGTCCCTGTGGGAGCCACCAGTAACCTCATAGGAACAGCCACAGAATTTTATTTTGGCACTTGCTTGGGTAAACTGGTCTGTATTCTTGACTTGCTAAAGTTGTCAGCATTTCCCGTGCTGAGGCTATAAAAGCAGTTACTAGCCTGTCACTTATTTTTTTTCTAGCGCTTACTTTTATGGCTTCTTTGTTTTGGGGTTTTTTTTACATTAATATTCTTAACTCACTGGGAATTAATTTTGGTGTAAGGAGTAATACATCCTTCTAGGGTCCAACTTAACTTTTTTCTGGTTGTTACAAAACCATTTGAGGAATAATTTACCGTTTCCCCATTGATATGAGATACAACATTGACATCGACCTATCACGAGTTCTCCTTTGCAGTTGGGCCTGTTCCTTAGATGAACTTCTGTAAGAATTTTGTTACCTGGAAATGCTACAAAATTTTCTCTCTTTTTTTTTATTGTTTTGTCATAATGAGTCACAACTTAATTGTAATGATTTTCTGGTTTTCACTACATCATGATTCTAAAAAAATTCAACCTTCTGGAACAAAACCAGAAATAAGTGGGAGAATGCTCCTTTGTGCCTGTTCTCTATCCATCTGAATTATTGTTTATATGTGAAGTTAAAATAAAGAAGAATTGGCTGCAATGATTTAGAAAGTATATCACGTACACTCCACACCTATCTGAAAAATTTTCACAAACCATGAAGAGTGAATCTAAAAGAGGGAAATGCAGGGATATAGGGAACTATCATGAGTAACGTAACCAGCGAAAATTACAGATAATTAAAATAATTTCTAATCACGTGGCTGTGAGGTTTGATGCTATTCTTTAAAACATTTTAAAAAATAGAATAGGCACATATTTTTAAAAATCTGAAAAAAATGCAGAACAATTTTTGGTGGCTTTAACAAAACATTGTGTGCCGATAGCATCTGGTATCGCTAGTCCAGGCACCCATGTCTCCGACTGCCAGTACCTGGCCCTGGGGAGCTGTCTCAGCTCGTCTTGCCCCGGTTAGCCTCTGATCTCATGGCTGTGATTATCCTGTGACCGTGAACCTTGACAGCTATGGGCCCTCCAGAATCCTGGCCTCCACTGCTCTCTGTCCCTCCACTGTTTTTTGTCTTCGTCCAGTTTAGATTTTATAATCCATCATTTCAATAACCTAACTCATCTGGCCACCTCCTCTTGGTTGGTGCCTGTTGGGCCAACTCCAGACCAGGATGAACTCGTATATCTGCTTCCCCGGCCCTTGCCGTGGGCAGTCGAGTATTGCTGACGAAAATGACACAACTAGACGGGTTAGTTAGCACCACAGCCAATCTGGGGTCACCCGTGCCAACTAGACCCTCAGGACTGCCCAGCAGAGCCCTGCTAGGCTGCTTTGGTTCGTGCGTTTTTCCTCTGCAGAAATTACTTCCAGTCTCTTCTGCTCTCTGCAAACCTGTGACCTCTCTCCGCTCTTAGCAGGTGACCTTCCCTCCAGTGACAGAGAGAGCAAGGGCCCTCAGGTTGGAGCCACCTCACCTCCCTCCTCGCAAGCTGGGGACTTTCCTACAGCGACACCTGCTTTCCCTTCCCTCTGCCCGGCACAGGAGACAGACCCCTTTCTCCCTGCAGCAGGGCCGAGTCTCCACCCGGGCTCTGCCCCGTGTCGCTTGCCCCCGACCCGGGGACGTCGCTTGTCTTTCCCTCTTGTCCCGGCAGCTCCTCTCTCTCCACTGGATCCTTCCCTTGGGGTTTCCACGTGCTCAGGTCTCTCCTTGAAACAAGCAATGGGACATCGCCACCTCCGTTTCGCAGGCTTCCCCAGCCCACCTCGCCTTGGCTTTTCCCCTTAACGTTTTTAAACAACCACCAAGAGAACAGACACTGGAGGTGGGGCTCCCAACACACTAGAGGGGAAAAAGGAACAGAGAAGTTCATGAATATGGGGAATATAAAGAAAAGAGAAAACGCAAAACAAAATGCAGAAGGAAGCCCAAGGATGGCAGAAGTTACTGTGGACGTAGCAGGTTCAGTTCTCTACCGTGGGAGCTATTTATCTAACGTTCTAGAAGAGCAGAAGCACACCAGGGAGGGGCATTAACAGCAGTGGGGTGCAGGGAACACTTTGGCATGAAATGTTTTATGCATTTACATCGTGATCGTGTTTTATGACTTTGTACGTTTGTCACAAGTCATATTGTGCACTGAAAGTTGGTGAATTTCATTGTTATTTATACCACAGTGAAGCTGACAGAAAGTTCACTACAGGCATCATACATACTACTTGGCTTCCAGTGAGTTAGTATTTACAAGTCACAATTATGTAAACACAGTACTTTTTAACTGAAAATTTGATTATATTACATTAGGTGGATGAGAAGAGAAGGGGGCACAGGGTAAAAGATCTTAATCTTAATTGGCCACAGTAGGAAATGGAGAGAATGTCTGAGACTGAAGAACCAAGAATGAGCAACCACCAGAGGAAAAATCTCAAGAAAAAGACTCTGGGGAGCAGGCTTGAAGTCCGGAAGGGGGGTACAGCGGACTGATAGCCTATTAGAGTGACTGGACCTTTTTGACCATGTGCATATATCATTTTAATAAAATTTCATTTAAAAATTGGGGGCAGTGAATTGCTAGAAATAACTATAGAAAGACCAAAAATCAGCCTTGAACCCAGCCTAGTTGAGAGGGGAATAGAAGCTCTGACACGATGTCTGGCTCTTCCTGGGCGGGAATGTCTAAGCTGAATTTAAAAGGATTTCAGAGTTCACCAAATGATTCTTTCTGAATATAATTGATTATTAAGGATGTTTCCTCTTTCTTGTAACTCTATTGAACTCAAGTAGTGCCTCTAAGAGATCGTACTGATTTACTTGCATTTTCTAGGCTTATATTTGTGCCAGCGGTGGAGAGATGATCTATATAAATCTTAAAAAGCATGGCTGGTCTACCTAGCACTATCCTAATGTTGAGGGAGTGTGCTGATAGAATATTGATCAGAAGGATACCAGAAGTATGGGCTGATTGGTCAGTTGGCTGGGTTATATGCCCAGCAAGTGCAAGTGTGAACATGGCAGGTTTCGAGATACAGGACTATGCTCATGAGGTGGTTTGTCTTGGCATTAAAGACATTTTAATGAAGCAGTTCTGGACTGTGATGTCGTCTCAACTAAACAAATAACACCCTTAGAGGAGTAATGGCCTGTGGGGCTCCTATCTACCTAACCATTTATATCTTTAAATCATAAGCATATGCCTGAAGCTATGCAGAACATTTCGTCTTACATAGTTATATTCCCCCTGGCAAAAGGAGCCATAGTCCAATAGAAATCAGAAACAGAATGCCCAAACTTTAAAATTGTGTAGTGCGATGTATGTTCATTGAAGGTGAATCACTGATGAAAATTACTTGTAGTCTTTTAAACTGTCCTTTTCGAATGGAATTAACATTGACGTCTTGTAACCTTTGTCTTAGCATACATCTGTGGATGGATACGCCGAACCACACATCCAGCCCACCAAGTCGAGTAGCAGACAGAACATTCCTCGGTGCAGAAACTCCATCACGTCAGCCACCGACGAACAGCCTCACATTGGAAATTATCGTTTACAAAAAACAATAGGGAAGGGGAATTTCGCCAAAGTGAAGTTGGCGAGACATGTTCTAACTGGGAGAGAGGTAAGTTTTCCACGATGCCTTTTAATATTTACTGGGATATTGAATATTTGCCTCCCCAGAGCCTTGTTAAATAGCTTTCCCAGAGCAGGTGGTGGGAATCAGTGAGTGTTACAGCATCAGAATGGCAAATACTGGGATCCGTGTGAATGCAACGTGCCGGATAGAGCTGTATCGCAGCATGGAGCTGGCCTTGAATGCTGAGAAAGAACCACCTCTTCATAGTAGCATCTCAGAGATGGAGCCTGACGCAAATGAGCTTTTCTCAGACTTGTCTTTCATTATGTGGTTTCTGTAAATATTTCGGCTTAACCTTTGCTACCCAACTTTAGGAACAGGGCTAGGATAAGTTTTTATTAATAATCAGTTTTGTATAACAAGTGTTGTTATACAGATGTTTTAAAATTGGGTTTCTAAAATCCCATGGGTTTTAAATTATATGTATTTATATAGCAAAAATTTATATAATAAATAATTATTGTAAACATTGATATATTTAGTAATTTCTATGTTAAAGATTAAAAGTAGTTAAACATCTAACATTCTCTATTACATTATGTTTACTGGATCTAATTACGACATTATGAAAAATTTCAGTCATCAAATGTTTTTGGTGAGATTTGATTTTGCTCTATACCGAACATTATTGTCACTTCCAGTTGAATTTAGTCTTCTCTGTCCATGCTGACCCCAGGAGCTGTTCAAACACAGGCCACACTAGGCAGAGGCTTAGAGGACATTCAGACCCCCTTGGTTTGTCTGCTGTAACTAAGCTTGGGTGGCTAGTTTCTCTACCCACCTAATCACTTCAGTCACAGAATACTCAAGTCACTGAAAGTTTATAAGCCTCTCCCTTCTGCTAATTGTAACTTACCAAGATCAGGAGTGAAAGTTTAAGATGCAAATGATTTTTATTTTAAAAGAGGAAACTTGGAAGAAATAACAAAGTGATTTCATTGACTCAGGGTCAAGCACGTTAAAGACGTGAGTCGTTGGCATGTGTCCTAAGGCTGCCAGATTATCAAAACCTGGCCATCCAGTTGTATGCACACTGAATTTATCTAGTTAGAAATGAAATGAAAGATGCTTTATTTCTAAAATGTATTCACTAAAATATACTCAAATACAGTTTAATGATTCTCTTTTTTAGGTTGCTGTGAAAATAATAGATAAAACTCAGCTAAATCCTACCAGTCTACAAAAGGTATTTAATTATTTTAATAGGAAGTAATTAGAATGTGAGTTTATTAATTAATGTATGAGTTCTGTAAAGCCAGTTATCCTAAATTTTCGACTAGGTGCAATGCTGCATTTCATCAATATATTAAGAAGAGACATGCTATACAACATATTTATATTTAATATTTAAATAATATTTTTAAAGTGGTTGTGTAAAAAATATCTCCTACTCAAATGCATGTGCCATGTGACAGGAATTTATGTATTTAATTCAGTAGAATTAAACTTGGTATGAAATGTTTTGAAGTGCTCGGGACCCTGCTTTGTTAAGCATCTGTTCATGAGTTGATGTTGTCCATAGGTGGGTTCCTTCTTCCATAGGAACTAGCGTTCCAGCTAACTTATTTCTTCAGAGGGTGAAAGTGTAAGAAAACGGGGAAAGAATGAAAAGCAGTCAGGATGCGGATTGCCCTGTAAACCTGGAGAAGCTGTTTCATTTGCTTTATTACTTGCTTACGTGAGGAAACCTTCTCCGCTACGCATTTTAGCACTTTCAAGATGAAACAGATATTTTAACATTTCTGCCATACATGTTAATTTTGTTTAGAATGAGACAGTATCCACTGTAGAAGCAATATTAAGAATTAATAATTTAGCCCTGGCCTGCGTGGCTCCGTTGGTTGGGCATCATCCTGTGCAGCACCGAAAGGTTGCCCATTCGATTCATGGTCAGGGAACATTTCATTAAAAAAACAAAAAAACAATAATTTAGCAAGTTGTCAAGAAACCAAACTTGTAAACTAATCAAAAGTATTGAAAGTATTTAAGATTTACTGGAATACATACGGAAGAATTTTTTTCTTGAAAATAGAGGAAGCTGGGACTATTTAAGTCTCCTGTGGGTTTTAGACTCACCATCTGGCTCTTCTAAAAAAATCATCTTTTCATTGAGTTATCTGAAGAGTCACACTTCTGTTCTTTCTCTGAGCCGGGCAGTTTGTTGACGTAGTAAACTAGCCTATTTTTAATTTCTGGATGGACTTATGTACAGCTTCGCAGGCAGAGCAGGCGAGGATGAACCCCTCGAATCTGCCTGGTTGAAACTGCCCTGGAAGCCAGGGTCGCCATCAGCCGGGGGGAGCAGAGCTTTTCTCAGCTCCTTCCCCGGATCCGCTGTGTTTAAGGAGATGAATTTCTCCAAATGCACGTGTTGATGGTCCTCTGCCCGCGTGTCCTTTTTAACAGGAGCGTCTCCCTGTTTTCTTTCCCAGTTGTTTCGAGAGGTACGAATAATGAAGATACTGAACCACCCTAACATAGGTATGAAGCGTACACGTGAATTAATAACGAAGCGTTCCCCGCATCCGAGTGCATATGAAAAGCTGCAGTTTTAAGGATGTTTTATATAAATAGAAGAAAGGCCACAACCAGAAACCTGAGTATGAGCTGAGAAAGTGATTCTTTGGGTAAAGATAGATTATAAAGCAGTTAGCTGAAGGCCCTGCAGCCTTCCGCCTGCCACTANTGATAACCAGAAACCTGAGTGATGAGCTGAGAAAGTGATTCTTTGGGTAAAGATAGATTATAAAGCAGTTAACTGAAGGCCCTGCAGCCTTCCGCCTGCCACTAGTGAGGGTGTGACTTGGAGCTAATCCACATGCAGCGCATGTTTCTTCTATCTTCCTACTCAGTCTCTCTAAGGAGAGATGGCATGCCATTTAAATACTTATAAAAAGTGAATTCCAGATAACTTGACAATATGCATTATGGTTTTATTGTAGTTTTTAGGCAAAATAACTAATTTGAATTAAAAACTAGAGCTGATTTCAGTTGTAGTGAATTTATTTCCATAAATTCTGGGTNTTTATCGTAGTTTTTAGGCAAAATAACTAATTTGAATTAAAAACTAGAGCTGATTTCAGTTGTAGTGAATTTATTTCCATAAATTCTGGGTTTCTCCTATATTTACAAATAAATGTGTTGGTTACATGTATTATATGATGTCACTGCATTTTAACAAGTAGAAAGCATTTCTGTTTTGAATCTGTTTTTAAACACTTGTTTCTTGCACATTTAAAAGTCTTACATTTATTAGAAATATTAATATAATTATTTGTGGTGTATAATTTCAACTACATAAATCTGATAATTTAGTAGTTTTTTAACCACAAACTTTTATAATATCACACACTTACAGAATTTTTTTGTTTCTGTACTAAAGTATATATACGGCTTTAGGATAGGCCCATTATAATACAGTATCTTTTAAAGCTTTAGTTAAAATTTTATTGTTGTGAAAAAAAATTTTATTCTGATTTTAAGATTTCCCTTTTATTACCTTATTATAATTAGAAATAGTAATGGGTTTTTACTGCCATAAACTTAACTCTCTTTTGACCCAGCCGTTGGTCCCCAGTCACTGTATGGTAAATAGCGTTCTTCCACATAGTAATAACTCTTGAGACAATATTTAAATTTAAAATTGTAATTCATAATCTTTAACAAGCACTTGGAATTTCTGCTGGTTTAGTGTTACCTTAAGTTTTACTAAAACACATCCAGTATGTGCTAACAATTTCAGTTTTATTTCTGATTTCTTTTTCAGTAAAATTGTTTGAAGTGATTGAAACAGAGAAGACCCTCTACTTGGTCATGGAATACGCAAGCGGGGGTAAGGTCAGGGGGCTTGACAAGTTCTCGTTGGTGAGACATAGACCCATCAACACCTAGCGATTAAGTGTAGCATTTATGTCTTTATTGTTGTTAGTGAATTTATAGTTTTATTAAAATGCCGTTACCTGATGCCTTAGGGAAAATTCAGTGTTTGTTTTCAAGACCTATTGATCCTACATTTAAGAGCTGGATTTGGAGCTTATTTAAAAATTATGTAGGGACATTTTTAAAACTCTAAATTTGCATTTTATCTATGAATGGTTTGATTCTCCTACCTAAATAGTATTATAATATGTCAAGTTATTATGATGATTAGAAGTTTGTGCTATAAGCAGGAAATCTCAAATTCAGAATGTATTTAATAAATTCTAGGTCAGATGTTTATTTCACTGATTGTTCATCTATGACAGATTATCAATATACGTACATTTTCAAGATAATCCATAAAATATTTTCATTTAAACAAATATTGATCTCTATATAGGGTGTCCCCAATATACACACCCTTTGAATAATTATAAAGGCAATGTTTGTTAAAATATATTTCAGTTTCAAAATTGAGCTTTCAGCTGTTACAGCGTGTATATATTTTTTGGGGACACTATATTTTTGAAGTTAAAAGACTGAGTTGACAGGAAACTAGCAAGATACATTTGTAGTAGAATGTAATGTATATTTTGACTACATAGTGTCAAAAATAGAAATGATTTTTAAACACTGATATATATAGAAAGCCACTTTCATCTGCTTTCCCCTCAAGTGAGAGCTACACTGGCTGAAAATCACAGTTCCGTTAGGCATAGGACTCAGCATTCTCAGAAATAGGTTTAAAATATATGGAGCTAAGTCATTCAATAAGTAAAAAAGGAATACTTGATGGTTTTAAAAGCTCGGAAAATTTAAGCACTTGAAGAAGAGGGAGGGCAGCTCTAAGTATTTAAACCACCCTGGCTAATTAATTCTTCTGCTAATCAATAGAAAAACAGTGTTGAGTCCTTTTAGCTGATAAAGTACATAGATTCTCCTGGTGATTCAGATTTTATGTAATTAGAACATCCAAATTATGTATTTTTATACTGTCTTAGATTTCAAAAAACTTTTACTACAAATAATAAATATATTTTAATTGCATTTTCAGTTTTTCGTAGAGATTGAAAGTTTTAATAGATTTGGTTTTTTCCAAAGCTTTTTTTTTTCCACTCTAAAGATATTTCAGTGTAGATTTTTTTACTTAACCTGAAAAACCTGGTTATTAGTATTTTCTTATTATTGGATTTTAAACAGTTATTCAGCTGTACAACTTTGCATAAAATGAAGGTCTATAATAAAGTGAACAAACTTACAAAAAACCCATCATGAACTAGTACTCTATTTTTCTATCCTTTAGTTAGATTTATTTAACCTTTTGTCAGCGTGGGAACCCTGACTGTTATTTTTAGTTCAGTTAGACCTTTTTTTATTTTTTATTTTGGTCATCTAAAGTCTAGAAATAGGGGCTGGATATGCTTTGATAGGAGAAATTATAGACTGCTTACAGTCTGTGGACACCATTCTGCTCATGAAGGTCCACCACCAGTGGTGTTCATATGTGTACTGTTTTCACAGTGAGTGGTAAGTACAGTCAACTCTCTATTGGTGCTAATGAAGGGGACCGATGGCGGGGGCAGAGAGCACAGCGTCCTCACTGCTGTCCCCCAGTAGCGGAGTTGGAAGGGGAGGTGTAGTGTGGAGACTGTGTCCTCGAATTCAGCCCCAGCCAGGGGGCCCCTCCTTCAGTTCTGATTTCCCAGTGACCGATTTTCTTCGGTCTTGCCAATCAGCGATCCTGTGACAAAACAGTCCTGGTTCTGCCAGTCAATCTAGAATCATTTTCTTGCCCTTTTAATCTATAAACGGCAAGGCTCCTCTGGAAAATACACCACTTCATGTTTTCCCTCTGGAATTTCCAGATATTTTAGGATTGAATCTGACATGCACACAGAAATCCAGCATGAACAAGAGCGGAGTCAGACAACAGCCTCGAGGCCAGGAGTAGATCAGACCGGTTGGTGTGGTTCACTAATGGGGCAAAAAGTTTCCAGGGGTGGGGAAGGCAGGGAGCTCCTTTACGATTTCAAACCATAGTTTGGCCAAAGGAGCCTATGAAAAGTAGGGCCAGGGCTGCCCTGGAATAGTATGTTTGTTTCTTCTTTCCTTCATGCCAACAACTTCATTAAATGTTTGCTATGTCCTAGGCAATATTCTGGGCACTGGGGACACATGGCTGAGCAAAGACTAAGCCCCTGCCCTCAAGAAGATTACATTCTAGTAGGGGAAGCAAACCATAAACAAACCATAAATAAGTGAAGGACTGAGTCATGCCAACATTTGGGGTCTGAGAGTTCCGGGCAGAACTTAAGAGTAGCCCAAAGTTTTGGACTGGGGTGTGTGTCTTTCCCAGCCTGAACTCACATACAGTATTAGAATTAACGACTGATGGGCCAGCTAGGGCACCCATTCATGTCTCTGTTTCCATCACCCCATTTAATCATTTAAGTAATATGCCGTCTGACATTGTAGATGTATTAGTTTCATCTGACACACACCATTGCATATTTGATTTTTAATATTTCACTTATATCCTAGGGTTGATATTGCATATACATATATATGTAATATATTTGTGTATCTCGATACAAATCTGTAATTTATTGAGTGCTTACTATATGCCAGTCACTGTGCTAAGCACGTGGGTTATTTCATTTAGTCCTGACAGAGCCATGTGAGATAAGCAATGGATAGAAACTGGTCCTCATGAGGTTAAGAAATCTTCCTATGTCTCCCAATGAGTACTTTGGGGTTAAACCAGGATTCATACCAAAATTGGTCTGATTCTAAAGTCTTGAATTTTTAACCACTTTGCTGTACTTTATAAGAACTCTTTAAGCCATTTTATGAGTTTTTGATGTGCATGTATATCCATACGGTGTAAATTGCAATTTAAAAGGACACAAAAAATAAATTTCTTCTGTATCCGGAGATATTTTATTTTTAATATTGTAACTAAATATTAATTGAGGGTTTTTTGGGTTTTTTTTTTACTATTATTGACTAGGAAAAAATGCAGTAACTTGCAGACATGTAAAGTAATGGATCTAATAGAAAAATTTTAAAGTTTCTAGTTGTCTTTAAATTATTTCAACAAGTTTGTATCGTCTATCCACTTTGTGTTCTGTCACGAGGCTGGGGACACAAAGGAAGCACGGACGTGATGATGGCTTTCAGGTATTCTGAAGTACGAGCCGCACCTGAGGATGATTTAATTCTGTATAGTAAGTGGTCAGGTACAGAATCGATGGAATGAGTCTGGTGAGAATAAGCGTAATCGGAGTGCAGGAAGGAAAAGAGCAAAATCAGTGTGTCCGTGGTGACAGCGAGATGGGATTGGACCAAGGCTGAAGGAATTTAAAGGAGAGAGATCCAACGTAATAAGACTTTTGTTATTTTATTTGAAATGGAGGCCCCCAAATACAAAGCCAGGTGTCATTTCTGATGGGCCGTGCTGTGGCTTCCCTTTATTAGAACGGGTAATAAAGAGTTGACTGTATTTTTTTACATAATCATTGAAAAGCCGAAAGTGAGTTTTCTTGGTATGTTTTTATGACTTATTCTCGAAAGAGTGTTGCTAAATCACAAGCTGCTACAGATACTCAATTCTATATGTAATTTTTTTAAACTTTTTTTTCTATTCATGGAATAGTTTGTGACTGACGTAGAACGACCAGAAAATTGGGGGCCAGAGGCCTCTTCAAACACAAGGCGCACACTTGACATTGCATATAATTGTTCGTTGAAATTCTTACGTGTATTTTACCGCCTGCTTTGCCTTCCCGATTCAGGTGAAGTATTTGATTACTTAGTGGCCCACGGAAGAATGAAAGAAAAAGAGGCCCGTGCAAAATTTAGGCAGGTACGGAAAGTAGTTTTCACCTTTGTCTTGCGGCTGTTTTTAGTAACGTTCAATGGACAGTGTCACAAACTGGACTTCGGGGGGGGGTGGTATTTTAATGAGAAAAATTCTTGCTTCCTTTTACTTTTTGTGAATGGAAAACTGAAAAAGAAACCTGTTCTTCCTGAATTTAAAAGAGTTGCCAATGGTTATTTTTAGATGGTCATAAATAGCGAGATGCTTATAGGTGAGAGTCAATCACTCTTTGATAGTCTTGGAAATATAGGCTAGGCTGAGATAGAAAAGAAATAATCCTTTATCCAATAATTGTTATCACACATTGTTAGCCCTGTGTATGCAGTATATATAAGTACTGTTTAGAGAGGTTATTTTCTTTTATAATTAAAGATATCTTGGTATTAGAACTCATATTTTTACAGTTTTAGACTGTGGTCAATTTTATTTAGTCAGGCAAGGAACCTTGCAATGTGGCAGAAGAATATGGTAAGATATTTATATTTCCCGTTCAACTTGAATATGACTTGTTACAGAAATGCCAAAATAAGAAATTTAAGTCGATCTAGGATTTTATTTTTTATTTTTAGGAATAAAGGGATTAAATTAGCATACTATATAAATTACTGTAGAAATGACAAGTTAATGTAAATTGTTTTTAAAACTTACTGAAGTCAAGTTTCGGAGGACAACTCACTATATCCCAAACTTTGGGATTGTTAATACTGGGAACTTAAATAGTTCATTGAAGAATAGCTCAGTGCCTCTTCTGTAAGCACGAACACTGATTCTACAATGAGAGGGGCCCTGTCATCAATAAGTTTGGGAAACACTGACCACCGATACCAGAGTTTCCTCCAAGAGAGCTTGCATGTATGTTAACATAGAATTACGTTTCCAACCCTACATATGGATGTCCCGAGATGGGAGGGCCTGGCCGTAGAACAGTGCGGTGAAACCTGGCCTTGTGGACGGGGTTCTGGCAATGGGTCTGAAGCCGGAATTTCTTTCCCATCAGAAACTGTACCTGGCGAGATAAGTGTGGTGATATTATAAACCACCGTGTTTGACTGCCAGAGGTCAGAGGTCAAAGAGTCTGGGGAGAATCAGTGCCTAATCTGAGCATTCCTCTCTGACTGTCCTCCCATCCTGAAGACTCTCAGGCCCAGGGGAGTTTTATTTCAGAAGTGCCCGTAGAGCTGCGCTCGTGGAGATTGTTCTGTCTAATGGGCGGTGATGTTTGGTAGCCAGATCGTTTTCTGTAGCGTGGCTTCTTCGCTGTCTCGGGACAAAGGGCCCACGCGCCAGGGAGCGTTTCTAATGGAATCGATTTTCTATTTTTTACGATTTCCTCCCTTCTTTGTACTTCTGCTTCTGTAATTGTGCCTCGTACTGTGGTTACCCACACTCACGTTTTCTCCTAATCGGACTGCCAGGGCAGGGTCCATGCGGTGGCAATTTTCGCATTTCCCTAGCACATTTCCTTGCACATAGCAGGTACTCAATAAACTGGCTGATGACTCGAAATAAGTTTAATTGCATGGCACATTGCTCATTGTGTGTTGATTTTGTTTTGAATTCATGTCTTCTCTGTCTTTGAACCATTTTAATATACATCAGGATAATTTTGGAAGACTGAAACTTTCACTTCTGTTACTTAGAAGTTTGATGTTGTTTTTAACGCACATTCCTGTCAGCATGGTCACACCTCACATCACTGTTAGACTTTTAGAAATCTCATTGCTGTCTCCATTTGTAAACGCCCAGCCAGTATCCGGCATGCAGACTGTGTTTACATTTAAGTGAATCCACAAAATTGAATGTTCCGCTGAGCATTAAATTGGTTGTCCTCCTAGACATCAGATAATTATATGTACAATTGTGTAGCTCTTAGCCCTGGCCGGTGTGGTTTGGTTGGTTGAGTGTCGTCCCATGTACCGACCGAAAGGTTGCCAGTTCAATTCCTGGTCAGAGCACATACCCAGGTAATGGGTTCGAGCCTGCGTGTAGGAGGCAGCCCATTGATGTTTCTCTACCACATTGATGTTTCTCTCTCTAAAAAAAAAAAAAAAAAAAAAAAAAAAAAAAAAAT